ACGAGGCTGCAGCCGGCGCCGCGGCCACTCCCGAGAGCATGAAGGACCGAACCCAGGAGCTCCGCACGGTGAGTCCGGCCCCTGCGTGCCGCCGCTCTCCGCTCGCTCAGCGCGCGGGCCACTCCCCGTCCGGCTCCGGCAGTCACCCAAGCAGTAGACCCTCTGTGCCCAGCCGGGGCGGGAGGGGATGGGGTGGAGCCGGAGACCCCAACCTTCCAACGGGTCCCACCCTTCGGACCCTTCGGGGTCACGGGCTGGCGTGAGCTCGGACCCTTTGGCCCGTGTGCTGGCGTCTGGAGTCAGGGGTCCTGGATAAACTTTTTGTCGCTCCCTTGTTTTGGGGGTTGGAGGGGTATCAATCGGATATCGATGGCAGGACGGAAGCCTAACCTCTCCCCGTCCGCGAAGCAGGTCCGGTCTCTGTTCCCACACCGTGCCAAATCACCGACCCTCCTTTCCCCGCTCTGGTATTGACAGACGGCGGGGACCGCGGTGGGAAGGGGCCGGGGGCGATCCCCTACCCAGAGACCCTCTGCGGGGAGCGCTGCGGGAACCGTGCGGTCGGGTGGGGCCGGTCTCCTCCGGTGGGCGCTGGCTCACGCGGCGCCCCGCCGCCCCCATCACCTCCCATCACCTGTAGCTCCCATCACCTGTGGCTCCCCACCCTGTCACGATTGGGAGCCGCTGCCCGCCCGGGTGCGGGAGGGCTCAGACCCGCCCCCCGGTCCATCTTCCTGGCTTCGGGGAAGCCTGGGGCGGCGTTTCCAGACCCTTCCAGTGTTCTCTGGTCCGATTCGGACCAGAACCTATTTTTCCACCTGTGTCTCGGAGGCCCCCGGGGCGTGGCTCCTGGGGCGGGGTTTGGAGGGAGTAGGAGGATGCGCTAAGGTTCTGAATCACAGTCCACTCTCTCCCAGCCCTGGCTGAGACCCCTGCCGCCTGCTCCTCATGCACAGCCCCGCCCACTCCCCTGGCCTCTGCTATTCAGTCCGAGGTTCACACCTCTGCTCTTAGGGATGGCAAGTCTGGAGCCTGCGGTGGGGCAGTGAAGGAAATTAAGCCTACCTGTGGGGAGGGGGCCCATTGGGGCTCTAGACCAGGTTGAGTTTCTTCTGATCCCCTGGCTGACCACCCTGTTGGCAGGCCCTGTCTGCTGATCTCTGGGAGATCCCAGTGGCTCCCCAGAACCGTACCCCTGTTGTCCAGCTTGGAGCTAGAGACCTAGGTCCCCTCACATGGAAAATTTCAAGTATCCTTTGAGCTTTTGATATTCATTGCCCAGAGGCTCCCTGTATTTGTGCCTGGGTCTCCTCCATTATACCAGTCTTTTTCCCCAGGTGGCCTGGGCTTGGGACCTGTGTCCTCCTGCCTCCATTTCTCCCTTGCTCTGGCTGCCAGCCCCTACCTTACCATCAGACCTGTCTTTTTTCTGGCTGAGTGCCCAGCCCCCAGAGTAAACCTCAGGAGGTTTCAAAGGAAGAAGATGGTCCCTCATGTCGTATGTAGTGTCTAAATATTTCCCTGCCAGTCCTTGCGGTTGCCCTCAAGTTTCCTGTGCTCTGTTGAGTCATAAAGAGTGTTATCTTTGCAGTGAATGGCCATGTGGTGTGTTTGCTGATGTTTGGGTATCTCCTGGGTCAGATGAGATTATATGTGGGAACCAGTGGTCAGAGAGAACACAGTCCTCTACATCTGACAGACCCTCTGGCTCAACCTCCTTCATCCCCTCTGCTGAAGGGGAAACTGAGGCACCAAAGAGCAAGTAGCTTGCCTGGTAGATCAAGAGGGATGGTAGAAAGGGGCTTTCCCTAGTCCAAAGAGAGGCATACTTAGGCCTGGCTGGGACTGGGGAACCCCTAGGAAAGCTTGGGTTGTAGGGAACTTGAACCCAGGTCTGTTGCTCTGGTGTGTGTCTCTATGACTGTCGCCCCCG